AGCGACACGCATAGCGCCCCATGCTATGTTATTATTATTTCTTCCTGTTTGCCTTGTTTTCTGTCGTCGCCGTACTGCTGTTGTTGCTTCCCGCATTTTCCACCGTGTGTAAACATCGGGCTGAGCTTCCACGCGTACACGCCACTGTCAACGACCGCCGCGGCGCTTTTCCGTGCTACTCCTCATTTAGTGAGAGCTAGAGGAACGGGAGAGAGAGAGAGAGAGAGAGAGAGAGGGGAAGGTCTATTCCTAGCTTCCCAGTTAAAAAATACGCAATTGTTTTACGCGATCAAATATCGTTTTACATTTTTCATCCGTGCGCCGAAGGTGCTTGATAATAAATCAACGTCAGGCGACCTGTCGGAATCTCCAGGATAATTCATTAGTATATAGTTAGGATGAAAGTATACGGCAAGTAACACATGGCAAGTTTAATATGGCAAGTTTTATATGGCAAATTTAATATATGGCATATGGCAAATTTAAGATGGCAAGCATATGCCATTTTATCGCTGTTACATCGACTCACGTGCGTGCAGTACTCTCAGGACGCGTGACGCTGTTAAGTATCTCTACCCACTTGAAAATCTTTTCGCCCGTCGTCTCAAATTACGCCATCAATTACACGGCACTTAAAATTACTTTGCGCGTTGCGTTCGTGCGTGCGTCGTAAAAACTATACACACATCAAACAAAGCGCTTATAGACTCGTGCTTGGAAACACGGGCGAGTTCCGTAGTCGTAAAAAACGCTAGTGCAAAGGGTTGAGCGTCTACAGCTTTACCCTGCATATGCTTCGGCTTAGAGCAGTGGTTCTTAACCGTTTTTGAGTCATGGACCCCTTTTGAGAATCTGGTGAAAGCTACGAACCCCTCCCCAGACAAATTTACATAAGCACATAAACACAAACATTTTATGCGCCTGGTTCACGGACCCCCTGAAGCCCATTCACGGACTCCAAAGTGCTCCATGGACCACAGGTTAAGAATCATCTGAGTTAGAAGATTGGAGAGGAGAAGAGGAGAATGATGGATAGAATTGAAAAACGCTATCACGGAGGGTTGATTGTGTACGGTTTTACCCTGTGTCTCGGGCTAGAAAGTTGGAGAGGGGAGGAAGAGAATGATGGATAGAATCAAGAGTAGATAATAGGGAACTATTATCTACTCTTGATAGAATTGAAAAACGCTATCACGGAGGGTTGAGTGTGTACGGCTGTAGGCCCTACCCCGTGCCTCGGGTTAGAGAGTTGGAGGGGGGAGGGAGCGACCGCACGCGCCCAGGCAGAACCGTCTATAAGTGTTTGAGCTGCGTCGACGATTTTCACATTCCTTCGCTAATGAAGATGCCGCGCGCGGTTAAACGTAAAACCCGACGGGAAAACCCGTAACCGTGCCGAAAAAATCGTGTGCGTAATTTGAGCAGAGAATCTAAGAGAATTACCGCAGCGCCCTCTGCCGGTACTTCGCGCTCGTCCTGCCGCGACAGCCGTGAGAAATTAAGTTTGAAATTTATGGTAAGAGAAGCTAAATACCTTTAGCTCTTAAACGCTATAATTTACCTATTGTTAATACATTGGTGTTTAAGTTCTAAGCTAATAATAGCGTTAACGCTAATGTGGCAAGAGCGCAAGCGGTTACCGGCGAATATTAAATCGACAACAAAAAAGTGTGGACTAATTCAATTATCGGCTGAAATCATATATATGTATAGTCCTGTTTTTGTTAGCATGTGTTCGTTTACATTGTGCACAAGTGCTCGTACGCTACGCGATTTCGGAATTCCTGTCGCTCATTTTTGTGAGGTGACTCAACTACTTCGTTTAGTTTATTGTACAGCAGTAGAGGGCGTTCATGGGCAGCAGGCCTGAATAAGCACGGCAGAAAAAAATATTTAAAAATACTTTCACAACATACATTTTATTCATGCTAAATTAAATGACCACAGATTCAAAGTCCAGACTTCGCTCGAAAGCTTTCCCAGGTACATAATGCACATTTGCAGCAAGTGGTCTTATCCTATTTCGCACACAAACACCTTGCTTGCGAGCTTGTCCCCTTGCTCCACGGTGCGATATCCGCGTCCCCCTTTCCCAAGCGCACACGCGAGAGAAAGCAAGAGCGAAAGAGATCACCAACAAAACAACACAAATGAGAAAACAGCAATTACCGTGCGGACACGCCTCTCGAAAACAATCGACAAACAAGAGCGCATCTGAGTCAACAGCGGCGCTGCCGTCGCCCGGCTCTCTGACGCAAAGCCGCCGCCGAGTCGTGTAAGCAAATCAGACGACATCAAAAGAGGCCGCCCCGACGGCAGAGACAACAAGAAACAAGCGGTTTTTTTTCGCGCGGCGTTGTCCTTCCGCCGGTGTCGACGTATTTATTTAAACATCTGCGGCGGTAACTCTGCTTCCCGCACCGAGCTCCGGGATGCCGTAGCTTAGCAACAGCGCGACGCGCATATCCGTTTTTTTCTGCGAATCACGATGTAATAGAATGCGCGCATATATATAGTTGGGCGCGAATTTGTCAGTTGCAAGGATGATATTATATATATATATATATATTAGATAAACTACTTAAGCTTCATAAGGCCGATAATGTCTAATTAAATTCAACAGAGAGAACGCGCGCAAGAGTGATATAAAGGAAGGGAACGTGAGAAAACGCGCGCTGGAGCGAGCGAGAGGGAGAGGGAGCAAGAGAAACAGAAACAGCGAGAAATTAAAAGACAAAAACGATGCGGAGCTAAGGACATACACGCACGCACAGAGAGAGAGAGAGAGAGAGAGAGAGAGAGAGAGAGAGAGAGAGAGAGAGAGAGAGATAGAGGGAGAGAGACAGCCCGATAGAGAGAAAGAGGCAGAGAAAGAGAGCGAGACAGCTGAGAGAGACACACATGCACACACGCAGAAGAGAGACAGAGAGAGAGAGAGAGAGAGAGAGAGAGAGAGAGAGAGAGAGAAAGAGAGAGATAGAGGGAGAAAGACAGCCCGATAGAGAGAAAGAGGCAGCGAAAGAGAGCGAGACAGCTGAGAGACACACACATGCACACACGCAGAAGAGAGAAAGAGAGAGAGAGAGAGAGAGAGAGAGAGAGAGAGAGAGAGAGAGAGAGAGAGAGGAAGAAAGAGAAAGAACGACAG